AAGTTACATCTTCACCTCCAGTGGCTATCTGAGGGTCCTAGATGGGGATGGCTTGGCCCTTAAACTATAAGAGACTCCATCGGCCATGGAGATTTTCCTAGATTTTCTATATAGGAGTGATTTAGGAGTGATATCTTTGTAGGAAAGAGATGTTGGGGACTTGTCTCAGAATTGCAAAGTAAACCCATAATTTTTTCTAGTTGTTTTTAGTTACCATGGATTCAACACCGACTCATGGCGACCCTATGCACAACAGAACAAAACATTGCCCGGTCCTGCACCGTCGTGTTTCCTAGATTGTAAATTTATTTGGAGGAGTGTGAGGAAGGGAGTGGGGAAGTTGGTGATAAAGACTAAGGGATTATCCAAAAGCTGTGTTTTCAGAGTAATTTAGACCTTAGTTGGATTATATGTTTGAGGGAATTAGATTCAGGAGAAGGAACCACTGAAGAACATGGCAGTGGAGCTAAAGCCTCTCCAAGCAGTCAAAGAAAGACTGTCACAAATCTATAAGCTCTCACATTGAAATAACTTCTTAAGTCCTCTCCCATTAACTCCACCCTTCTCCCAACATAACTGTCGCCTCACATCCACAGAGCAAGGTTCATAGGGACCTGATTAGACCAAAGAGCTCCCTACTGTCACCTTTGCCCTTCATCCTATAGGATTCATATGAAAAGGAGGGGAGGGATCATAGGGTGCTGGCAAAACATGGGCTCTAGACCAGGGTTGCTCAACCTCAGCACTATTAACATTTGGACCAGACAATTCTTTGTGTGGGGACTGTTCTGTGCATTGTAGGATGTTTAGCAATATCCCTGGCCTCTACCCACTAGATGCCAGTAGCACCCCCTTTCCTAAGTTGTGACAAACAAAAATGTCTGCAGACATTACCAAATATCCCCTTGAGAAAGGAGCAAAATCGCCTCTGGCTGAGAATCACTGCTGTACTTATACTAGCTGGAATCACGCTTTCCCTCCCTCACTTACTGATTGTGTGACATTGGCCTCCCCATGCCTCAGTTTCCTCATCTGTAAAATGGGGATAATACTAGCTCTATCTCATCTCACCGGGTCATTGAGAGTTAAAGGTATATAGAGTATTTAGACATGTGTCTGGCACAAGTAAGCACCAATGCCAGTTGCTGTCAAGTCACTTTGACTCATGGCAACCCCATGTGTGTCAAAGTAGAACTGCACTCCATAGGGCTTTCAATAGCTAATATTTTGGAAGTAGATCACCATGCCTTTCTTCCAAGGTGCTGTGGGTAGACTCAAACCTTCAGCCTTTCAGTTAGCAGCCAGCACATTAGCCATTTGCACACACACCCCCCACCCCCCCAGGAACTCCTGACCTTAACATTTATTGAGTTAGGCATTTTCCTAATTATTTTGCTGGGAGGTTTATGGTGGTGAATTAATTTTCTTGAAATCACAGAACGGGTAAATGACAGAGGGAAGCTTTGAATCCACTTTACAATGCTGTGTCTATACCAGTTATCATGTCTATTTTCTCCTCTAAAATGATAAAGCAGCATCTCTTCTCCATCAAAACACCCTGCCATTCTGAAAATGGAAAAGAGCAGAGATACTGTTTTGAAAATCATGACAATAGAAACATCTCAGATCCGCATAAGTATGGCCTCCTCCTTTCCAGCCATTTTCATTGGAGGGTAAAGCAGAATCCAGTGATGTCTTCATTTATAAGAGCAAGATGGAAAACAAAATGACCCAGAAAGTTTAAAAATAACAGGGATACACAAAGACATGTCAATCATACTCAACCATTTCACCTGGCTTCCAAAATGTCACGTCTCTTTTGTTCTTTGCTGGACACACCGTCTTCATCTCTTTTTTTCGCCTCTTCTTCCTGAGTTCTAAGTGTTGGAGTGGTCCTGGACTCAATTCAGTCTCTTGGTTTTAACAGCTTTTTCTACATTGTCGGCTTTCAAATTTAAATTTACCAGCCAGAGCTCGCCCTTGAGGTTTAGACTCAGAGATCCACTGCCTACTTAACATTACTTAGATGTCTAATGGGCATCTCAAACTTAGCATGCCCTAAACTGAACTTCCAACACCCACCCTACCCCCAAAACCTCAGCCTTTCCCGTCTCAGAAATGGAATCTTCACTGTAACAGTTGTTCAGGTCCAAATCTTAAAGTCGTCTTTGACCCTGCCCTCTCATATCCCACATCCACTGGTAAATCCTGGTGGTTCCTGCAAATCCGTCATTTCTCACCACCCCTACAGCTACTTACTCCAAGCTATCATCACTTCTTTACTCCGACTACTGCAATAGTTTTCTGACTGACTGCGGTCTATTTTCCAACCAGAGCCATTCTTTTAACACAGAAGTTAGATCAGGGCTACTACTATCAGCCTAACCAGTTGCTGTTGAGTCAACTCCGATTCATGGTGACCCCGTGTATATCAGAGTAGAACTGTGCTTCACAGGGCTTTCAATGGCTGATTTTTTGGAAGTAGATTGCCAGGCTTTTCTTCCAAGGCACCTCTGGGTGGACTCAAACTTCCAACCTTTCAGTTAGCTGCTAAGCACATTAACCATTTCCACCACCCAGGGACTCTACTACTAGTCTACGTGGAGTCTTAGGGCATGTTAGAAAAAACACACTCCCCTTACTCAGGTGGACAAAAGTCTGTGGACACATGACTTTACAAGTAGATGGCACCTTTGTTTGATCAACTGATCAATTAATCAAAGTATCCCTTACTCCAGCTAAACACAGCACTTCCTCCCCCAGGTCTCACTGCTTGGCAAGATCTTGGAATGGATTTCAGTCCCCACCTGCACTCTCATCCAGGGCCTCTGTGTAGTTCTCATAATATTACTATGTCCTTGGGGATACACCCACTCCTCACTTATCAACATGGTTAGGTTCCAAAGACCAGATCGTTACGCAAAAATCGGAGTTATACGAATATGGAGGATGACCATATCAGATTACAAAATGGAGGATGACTACATCATTACTTACGTGTCAAATTACATCATTACATAACTACCAAATTACATCATTACATAAATGCCAAATTACATCGCTATGTAACTGCCAAACCGCTGAGAATCATGGCCCAGCCAAGTTGACACATAACCTTAACCATCACAGCCAGTGTTACTTTTGCCTTGCACAGCAGGAGGTGGCGAGCACAGTTATGGTCCTTGCTGCATTGCTGCCAGTTGTATGTCTTTAATGCAGAAAATAGTTGGATAGTAGATTTTTTACTATTGTCATAATGCAAAATGTCAGATAATGAGATAGTCAATAAGTGAGGAGTAGGTGTATGATTTATACAAAACCTTCTTATAAGTTGCTGCCTCGTCCCGTGAAAAATGATCTTTCAAAGAAACTCATGGTTCTGATTGATTGTCTTACTTGGTGATTTGTTGACCTGATAATAATGCTGTAATTGACTTCTCTGTAACCCCAAAATACAAAATGTAAGATGGGTATGTCAAATCAGAAGTTAATCTCTGGAATTTCTCTCTTCCTTCTCCCAACCATGCATAATGTTGGGGGTGGGTGGGAGGGTTTTTTTTTTCCTGCCTGTATTTCCTATTTTTAATCAAAAGGTTGAGAATTTTGTTTCAAATTCACAATGTAGCAGAAATCTTTTGCACAGCAGGAGGTGATGAGCACAATAATAGTCCTTGCTGCACTGATACTAACAGGGAAAAATTGGAAGTAATTAAAATACCAAAAGTAGGAGAATGGCTACCTAAATGTGTAAACTCTCAATATAACGTTCCATAGCATTTTCAAAGGCAGTTATGAAGACCATGTTTGTAATATTATGTTAAACGAAAAAGAAACAAAATACAATGTTGTATAGTCACTGTGACCGTAACAATGTAAAACATAAACAAATTTTAAAACACTGAAAGAAAATATTCTAAACCAATAATTTCTTCAGGCACTACTGTTACTTTCCCCCCCTCTCTTTTACAAAGTTTCTGTGATATTGATGTATTGTTCTCATCAAAGTGTTGGTGAGAATATGGAACAACTGGAACTCTCATGCAATACTGGTAGGAGTGTAAATTGGTTCAATCACTTTGGAAAACCATTCGGCATATCTGCTAAAGCTAAACATGTGTCTACTCTATGATACAGCAATTCTACTCCTATGTATATGAGGGTATATGCCAAAAAAGACGTGCACAATTACTATTTAGAGTAGTTTTATTCATAGTAACCAATGACTGGAAACAACACAAGTATCCATCAACAGAGGAATAGATAAACAAATTGTAGTAGGTTTATGTAATGGAATTCTACATAGCAATAATTTTTTTTTAAAAAAACTATTGATATCACAACAACACAGGTGAATTTCACACATATTATATTAATTGAAAGAAGCCAAACAAATGACTTGACCTGTATGAAGTTCAAGAACAGGCAAACTAATCAGGGGTTATAGAAGAATCAGAATACAGGAGTAGGGTCAGTATGGTGGCACAGTGTTTAAGCCCTCATCTGCCAACCAAAAGGTCTGCAGTTCAAATCCACCAGCTGCTCTGTGGGAGAAGGTTGCGGCAGTCTGCTTCCACAAGGATTTACAGCCTTGGAAACCCTATGGGGCAGTTCTACTCTGTCCTATATGTTTGCTATGAGTCAGAATTCGATTCAATGACAGTGGGTTTGGTTTGAGTCTGGTACAAGGAAATATAATCTATATCTTGCTTTGGGTGGTGATTACTCAGGTGTGTATATGTAAGTAAAAATTTATTGAGGAGTACTTAATTTTGTGCACTTATTATACATAAGTTATATCTCAATAAAATACATTAAAGCAATAATTTGTGAATTTAGTCCATTATGAGTGTTTCATTATTATTTTGATTCTGCGTGATATAAATCCCTCTATACTTGAATTTTGTGAAGTTTGATGATAGATAGAGTAAACTTGTTTACCATATTCCCAACCAGAAAATCATTCAACTAGTGGCGACACCTCTAATTCTGCTGTGGACGATATGAGCATGCATTTGGTGCCACCAAGGCTGCTGGACATCCAGGCAGGGGAAGAATATGAGGCTAGTGTTGGTTTGCAAAGGTAAGCCAAAGAGCTTGCATGCTGGGGCAAAGGGCTAATTCTGTTAAAATGCTATAGACAGCCTCATGATGTGGAACAAATGCGGATCCTGTTTCTCACTGACGTTTGTTACACTTATGAATATATGTTCTTCTAGTAAAAATATTTCATCAGGCTAAATGTTTTGGAGAACAAGTCAGGAGATAGTCGGGTACATAACAATGAGCAATAGGATTCTAGGAGCAGAAATTTCCTGACTCTGGGGCTTCACCTCTGTTGGTTCCATGAAGGCAAGAACTCAGTCTTTTGGGCTCACTATAGCAAGGAGTCCTGGTGGCACAGTGGTTAAGTGCTCTGCTGTGAACTGGAAGGTTGGTGGTTCAGTCCTACCAGTTGCTCTGCAGGAGAAATGCTCCCATGAAGATTACAGTCTTGGAAACCCTATAGAGCAGTTCTACTCTGTCCTATAGGGTCACTAAAGTTGGAATCCACTCGACAGCACACAGCAACAACATAGCAACATTGGCAGCCTACAGCACCATGTGGGCAACCCCAAACCCATTGCTGTTGATTCCGACTCCTACTGAGGGCTGTTTCACCCCCATTGAATGGACTTCACACTTTGTTAAAAATCAGATGCCCGTAGATGGATGGATTTACTTCTGGGTTCTTAATTCTATTCCATTGGTCTACATGTCTGTCATTGAACAAGTACCAGGCTGTTTTGATTACAGTGGCTATATAGTATTTTTTTCCCCACACATCTGTCAGTTTGTCATACTGTGGAGGCTTGCGTGTTGCTGTGATGTTGGAAGCTATGCCACTGGTATTCAAATACCATCAGGGTCACCATGGTGGACAGGTTTCAGTTCAACTTCCAGACTAAGAAAGACTAGGAAGAAGGACCTGGTGGTCTTCTTATGAAAAAAACTAGCCAGCAAATAACAGCAGAACATTCTCTGATATAGTGCCAGAAGATGAGACCCTCAGGTTGGAGTGCACTCAAAATACAATGGGAGAAGAGCTACCACATCAAAGTAGAGTTGACTTTAATGACATGGATAAAGTCAAACTTTTGGGACCTTCATTTGCTGATGTGGCATGACTCAGAAAAGAAACAGCTACAAACATCTGTTAATAATAGAAAAGTGGAATGTAGGAAGTATGAATCTAGGAAAATTGAAAGTAGTCAAAAATGAAATGGAACCCATAAACATCCATATGCTAGCCATTAGTTAGCTGAAAGAGACTGGTATTGGCAATTTTGAATCAGACAATCATATGCTGGGAATGACAAATTGAATAGGAATGGCATTGCATTCATTGTCAAAAAGAACATTCAAGATCTATCCTGAAGTACAAAGCTGTCAGTGATAGGATAACATCCATACATCTACAAGGAAGACTAGTTAATATGACTGTTATTCGGATTTACTCACCACTGGCCAAAGATGAAGAAATTGAAGATTTTTACCAACTTCTGCAGTCTGAAATTCAACAAACATGCAATCAAGATGCATTGATAACTACTGGTGGTTGGAATGCAAAAGTTGGAAACGAAGAAGAAAGATTAGTAGTTGGAAAATACGGCCTTGGTGATAGAAACAATGTTGGAGACCACGTGACAGAATTTTGTAAGACCAACGACTCCTTCATTGTAAATACCTTTTTTCAACACATGAAAAGTGACTATTCACTTGGACCTTGCAGATGGAATACACAGGAATCAAATTGACTACACCTGTGGAAAGAGAAGATGGAAAAGCTCAATATCATCAGTCAGAACAAGGCCAGGGCCAACTGTGGAACAGACTGTCAATTGCTCAGATGCCAGTTCAAGTTGAAGCTGCCAAAAATTAGAACTAGTCCATGAGAGCCAAAGTACAACCTTGAGTATATTCTACCTGAATTCAGAGAGCATCTTAATAATAGATTTGACACATTGAACACTAATGACCAAAGACTAGACAAGTTGCAGAATGACATCAAGGACACGATACATGAAGAAAGCAAGAGGGCATTAAAAAGACAGAAAAGAAAGAAAAGAGCAAAATGGATGTCAAAAGAGACTTTAGAAGTTGCTCTTGAATGTAGAGTAGCTAAAGTGAAAGGAAGAAATAATGAAGTAAAAGAGCTGAATGGAAGATTTCAAAGGGCGGCTGGAGAAGACAAAGTAAAGTATTATAATGACATATGCAAAGACCTGGAGTTAGAAAACCAAAAAAGAAGAACACACTGGGCATTTCTCAAGCTGAAAGAACTGAATTAAAAATACAAGCCTTGAGTTGCAGTATTGAAGGTTTCTATGGGCAAAATATTAAAACAATGCAAGAAGCATCAAAAGAAGATGGAAGGAATACACAGAGTCGCTGTACCAAAAATAATTGCTTGACATTCAACCATTTCAGGAGGTAGCATATGATGAAGAACTGATGGTACTGAAGGAAGAAATCCAAGCTGCACTGAAAACACTAGCAAAAACCGAGGCTCCAGGAATTGACAGAACACCAATTGAGAAATTTCAACAAACGGACGCAGCACTGGAAGTGCTTGATCATCTATGCCAAGAAATTTGGAAGACAGCTACCTGGCCAATCAACCAGAAGAGATTCATATTTATTCCTATTCCAAATAAAGGTGATCCCACAGAATATGGAAATTATTAAACAATATCATTAATATCACATGCAAGTAAAATTTTGCTGAAGATCATTCAAAAGTTGGCGCAAGCAGTACATTGACAGGGAACTGCCAGAAATTCAAGGCAGATTCAGAAGAGGACGTGAAACCAGGGATATCCTTGCTAATGTGAGATGGATCCTGGCTGAAAGCAGAGAATACCAAAAAGATTTTTACCTGTGTTTTATTGACTATGAAAAGGCTTTCGGCTGTGTGGATCATAAAGAATTATGGATAACATTGCAAAGAATGAGAATTCCAGAACACTTAATTGTGCTCCTGCAGAACTTGTACATAGACCAAGAGTCGGTGGTTAGAACAGAACAAAGCGATACTGTGTGGTTTAAAGTCAGGAAAGGTGTTCATCAGGGCTGTATCCTTTCACCATACTTATACAATCTGTATGCTGAGCAAATAATCCAAGAAGCTGGACTATATGAAGAAGAACGGGGCATCAGGATTGGAGGAAGACTCATTAACAGCCTGTGTTATGCAGATGACACAACCTTGCTTGCTGAAAGTGAAGAGGACTTGAAGCACTTACTGATGAAGATCAAAGACCACAGCCTTCAATATGGATTACACCTCAACATCAAGAAATCAAAAATCCTCACAAGTGGACCAATAAGCAACACCATGATAAATGGAGAGAAGATTGAAGTTGTCAAGGATTTCATTTTACTTGGATACACAGTCAACACTCATGGAAGCAGCAGCCAAGAAATCAAAAGAGTCATTGCATTGGACAAACGTGCTGCAAAAGACCTCTTTAAAGTGTTAAAAAACAAAGATATCACTTTAAGGCCTAAGGTATACCTGACCCAAGCCATGGTGTTTTCAATCGCCTCGTATGCATGCAAACCTGGACAATGAATAAGAAGGCCATAGAAGAATTGATGCCTATGAATTATGGCGTTGTTAAAGAATACTGAATATACTATGGACCTTCAGAAGAACGAACAAATTTATCTTGGAAGATGTGCAGCCAGAATGCTCCTTAGAAGCAAGGATGGAGAGACTTCATCTCACATACTTTGGAAGTGTTATCAGGAGGGATCGGTCCTTGGAGAAGAGTATCATGCTTGGTAAAGTGAAGGGTCAGCGAAAAAGAGGAAGACCCTCAAAGAGATGGATTGACACAGAGGCTGCAACAATGACCTCAAGCATAACAAAGACTATGAGGATGGTGCAGGATTGGGGAATGTTTTGTTCCACTGTACATAGGGTCACTGTGAGTCAGAACCAACTCGAAGGAACCTAACAACAACAACATTCAAAATACTGCTGTGTTTTGAAATGAAAACCTAAAAAAAAAAAAAAAAAATGAGATATTTGACTTATGTCAGAACCAACTTACAACGGAGTCATTGAAATGGAACCCTGTCTTAAGTCTATATATCATTCTTCCTGATGGTGTCCCACATAACCCTTAGGCTTTCTTCATTCTTTTTCATGATTGTTCCTTGAACAAATTAGTATCAAGTGATTTGTCCTCTATTTTGCTCATTCTTTCTTCCAGTGAGGCAATTCTACTTCTGTGGCCTTCCATTGAGTTGTTTATTTCTGATATTTTATTTTAAGTTTCTGAATTTCTAGCTGTTGTTTTTGCATGGTTTCTATATGTTTATTGAATTTGTCATTTTGTTCTTGTATTTTTTTCCTGAATTCTTCTAGGTTTTTTTTGGCCTGTGTTTTGCTTCATCTCTCTAAGGAGCCTAAACATTAGTCTTTTGAATTCTTTGTCAAGTAGTTCTGTTATCAGTTCTTCGTCAGAAAGCTTTTACGTCCCTTTTTTTGCTCATTTGCTTGAGCCTTCTTATCCTATTTCATTATATGATTTGTAATTGACTGTTGTCTTTGAGACATTAAGATTCTATTTTATTTGTTTATATATTTACTGATTGATTGTATGTTTGTCTTTTTTGTATTGTTTGTATATATCTGGGCCTTAACTTTTTCCTTTTCTCTTTGGATTAACTACCTTCCTTTGTACTGTTTTAATTGACATTGCTTTGTAGTATTGGTCTGTGTATGACGATGATGCTGCCAATTGGTTGGGAGTAATTTTCTCTCACTGGTGGGCATGATGGGTAGCATACACATGAGAATCCTTTGTTGCTGGGCACGTATGTCTTCCCTTGTATGACTGCATGGAAGTGTGTGAGCAGGACCCTTCCCTGTTGTGGGGTTACATGTGTTGAATGGTCAGGATCCCTCCACAGCTCTTGTGTGGCTGTGTGGTCCTTCCACGTTGGTGTATGCTATTAGTACAGCCTCTGGAGAGTAGGACAGGATGTCATCACAGACCCAGGGAGGCAGTATTACTCTAATGAGTGAGGCAGGCCCTCTGCTTAGTTATGGATTGGTGTTCTAGTGATGGGGTTAGGAAGGCTGGATTTCTCTGCGTATGCTCAGACGGCCTGGGGGAATAGGTAGAGTGTGGGAGGGGCATTTGGTGGGCAGGTCGCTGGGGGTGCCTCATCTCATGAATCAAGTAGGGTGCACAGTGGGCTCAGGCAGGGCAGGGCAAGTGGTGACTCAGGAAATCCACTTAGGTGTGTTGCCGTGCAGGGCAGGTGGGGCGTGTGGTGGACTCCGGCTAGGTGAGAGGAGCAGTGAGTGGTTCTCCAGGGCTCCTTGTCACACGGCAGTTGCTCCTCTTACTTGTCTCTTTTGTTCATGGAACCAGTAGCTCTTAATGAAGACTGAATTTCCCAGTGGCACTCTGGGACTCCTAATGGTCAGGCCAGCGGATCAGGGCTGTTAGGGAGGTGCAGGGAGAATAGGGGTAGCAAGAACATCCAGAAACCACATGTGTCTGACTAAGCAATTGGCTTTCCCATCTGGGAGTTTGATGCTAAACCTTTGTTTTACTCATTGGCAGTGGCGAGGATGACGTACTTCTGTGGGAAGATGTCATGTGGGATCTACAAGAAGATGTGGATCTGTCAGCTGAAGAAAGAATATTTTTGGAAGAATTTTCCCTATTGAAATGTGAGCTGGAAGCACATATCAGCAAGCTCCATGCCCTTGCAGACCATGTGGATACAACCCATGAAACATTCACCAAAACTAATGTGGTGGTCAGCTCCATTGCAGTTGTCTCTGGAGTCATGAGCATCCTGGGTTTAGCCCTATCTCCAGCAACATTAGGAGGAAGCCTGGTGCTTTCTGCTGTTAGTAAAGGTCTGGGGGCAGCAGCTGGGGTCACCAGCATCTTGACTGACATTTGTAAGCACCTTCATAATAAGAAAGCTGAAGCTCAGGCCAGCAGCCTTGTTCCCACCCATGGCCAAGGGGACAGGGAAGCCGCAGGAAAGGAGGCATTCTACGCCATGGCTGTTGGCAAGGTTGTCTATCAATGTGTAAGCACCATCAAGGATATCAAGAAGAACATCCATGCCTTTCAGAGAGCCAGGGCCCACCCTTGCTTGGCTGCTGCTGCCCAGCGGCTCCTGACCACTGGTCATGTCTCGGCCCAAAGTAGCAGGCAGGTTGAAAGAGCCTTTGAGGGCACGACACTGGTGATGACCAAAAGTGTCCGCCTGCTGAGCACTGCAACGGCTGGTTTATTCCTCAGCATTGACTTAGCCACACTTTTGATGGACTGGAAGCAAATGAAGGCAGGAACAGGAACAGAGGCTGCCAAGGAGCTGAGGGCCCAGGCTCGAGAGCTAGAAAAGCTGCTAAGAGAACTCACTCAGCTCTACGAGAGCCTGTGGCAGCAGGTAAAACCAAGTTTTCCCTTTTGGGCGGGGCTGGAGAGGGATGGGGAGGCTTTGACTAGGGCTGATGGGAACCAAGGAACCCCCAGGTGGTCCCAACAGTTAAGCACTTGGCTGCTAACTGAAAGGTTGGGGATTCAAGTCTACCCAGAGGCACCTTGGAAGAAAGGCCTGAAAGATCTACCTCTGAAAAATCAGCCATTGAAAACCCCATGGAGCACAGTTCTACTCTTACATACATGGGGTAACCATGAGTTGGATTTGACTCAACAGCAACTGGTTTTTTGTTTGTTTGTTTGTTTGTTTTTATGGGAACCAAGGTTCATGAAAAGAGTGTCAAGAGAGCTAGTGTGTGTGTGAATTTTGCCTGGATGATCCTAAGGCACTTGGTGGCACTGGAGGTCCCAACAGTATCAAGTACACCTGGCCTGGACAAACCTAGTCATGCCTTTTACTTCCCCCTAGATACTCCTTGAGATCCATGTGCTGGGGAGACGGTCCTCCCAGTTTTGCAGAAAAGGACACTGAACTAGCAAGAGGTTATGTGGCTTGCCCAGTTCTCACAGCTAGTTGGGGTAGAGTCAGGATTACAAACCTAAGAAGTCTGACTTCAGAGCTTGGCCTGCGATGCTGCATCTGAGGCCTTTGTAGCATTTTTCCTGGGATTGGTGCTTTTGTTTCCCTACAGGAATTATTGCAAGAAAAAAGCCTTATGAACTCCACTTTTGAGGGAGCCATGTAGGATCTGCCTTGGCTTCCATCCTGGCCTGGGGAAGCAGGATGCCAGGTGAGAGGCTGGGAGGAAGGTGGGCTGAGGCTAGGGACTTCAGAGCACAATAAAAGGGACCAGGGTGGGGCAGGTGAGGCTGGCAGAGGAGACACCAGGAGGTCCAATTGTATCCCACCACTGAGGGGGATGAGTCCATCCAAGAGGGCATCATCAGCCAGTGCTGATGACCTTATGAAGGTCAACCCATCCCCCTCCCTCACTTCCCCCTCATTCCTTCACTCACAGGCTACCTCATTTGCTCCATTTCTTCAGAACCCCATTCACTGACTCACAGAGTCAGTCCACATTAAACATGTATTGTTTGATGGCAGGCCCTATATTAAGTCAGGAGGGTACCAGGGTGAAGGGTATTTTGTGCTCGTGCTTTCATATCGACTCACCTTGAGGTCCCTCTGTGTTCTCTCTTCCTCCCTCAATCTGCCTATAATCACTGGCAAAACTCCTGGACTTGTACACAATGGACATCCTGCGATCCGCTCAACCAGATTCCAGTGGGAAGGCGAGACCCCCAAGAGCCCCTCTGTGCCCTCTCCATACCAAAGTCCTAGGAGCAACTTCAGGACATCAGAACCTGTAGTAACTCTCTTGGTTCACCAATTCACCTATTTAAAATTTTTTTCTTTTATAATCTGCTTTAGTTGCTATTTTAAAAGTAGTGCATGAATATTAAATACAATTTTTGAAAAATTCAGGAAAGTAAAAAAATATGACAGGGAACTGCCAGAAATTCAAGCTGGATTCAGAAGAGGACGTGGAACCAGGAATATCAATGCTGAAGTCAGATGGATCTTGGCTGAAAGCAGAGAATACCAGAGAGATGTTTACCTGTGTTTTATTGACTATGCAAAGGCATTCAACTGTGTGGATCGTAAGAAATTATCCATAACATTGTGAAGAACAAGAATTCGAGAACACTTCATTGTGCTCATGAGGAACCTGTACATAGACCAAGAGGCAGTTAATCGAACATAACAAGGGGATACTGCTTGGTTTAAAGTAGGGAAAGGTGTGTGTCAGGTTGTATCCTTTCACCATACTTATTCAATCTGTATGCTGAGAACATAATCCAAGAAGCTGGACTATATGAGAAGAACAAGACATCTCGATTAGGAGAAGACTTATTAACAGCCTGTATTATGCAGATGGCACAACCTTGCTTGCTGAAAGTGAAGAAGACTGGAAGCACTTACTGGTGAAGATCAAAGACCACAGCCTTCAGTATGGATTATGCCTCAACAGCAAGAAAACAAAAATCCTCACAACTGGACCAATAAACAACATCATGATAAATGGAGAAGAGATTGAAGTTGTCAAGGATTTCATTTTACTTGGATCCACAATCAACACCCATGGAAGCAGCAGTCAAGAAACCAAATAACACATTGCATTGGGCAGATGTGCTGCACTCTTAAAGTGTTAAAAAGCAAAGACGTCACCTTGAAGATTAAGGTGTGCCTGACCCAAGCCATGGTGTTTTCAGTCACCTCATATGCATGCGGCAGCTGGATGATGAATAAGGAAGACTGAAGAAGGATCGATGCCTTTGAATTACGGTGTTAGCAAAGAATATTGCATTTACCATGGACTTCCAAAAGAACAAACAAATCTGTCTTGGAAGAAGTACAGCCAGAATACTCCTTAGAAGCAAGGATGGCAAGACTATGTCTTGCCTACTTTGGACATATTATCAGGAGGGGTCAGTCCCTGGAGAAGGACATCATGCTTGGTAAAGTAGAGGGTCAGTGAAAAAGAGGAAGACCCTCAATGAGACGGATTGACACAGTGGCTGCAACAATGGGCTCAAGCGTAATAATTGTGAGGATGGCGCAGGACTGGGCAGTGTTTTGTTCTATTGTACATGAGATATCTATGAGTTGGAACCTACTTGAGGGCACCTAACAACAACAACAACAAATAAGGGGGAGAAATAACACCCAAACCAACAATGACAACTGTGGTAGTCTGGGATAGAATCTCCCTCCTGTGCTTGTCTTGCTTTGGGTGTTGAAGTGCTGGCTTTACGTAGTCATCATTAGACTGCTTGCTGGAGGCCCTCCCCCACCGCTGTATTATAAGATAGACATTATTCTGCAATCCACTGAGTTTTCTTTCTAACTCACTCACTCCCAATTCCCTCATTTACCTACAAATACATAACTTTCCATCCTGCCATTTTGCTTAACAACATTTTCTGCACTCAGTGTTTTGTTTTTATAGACATTGCTTTTCTATGTGGCAAAAATGTTCTCTTGATTGTATGTATGCTCTTTTAACTCACCTGTTTCAGTCACCACTTTCCCTTTTAAGTGGTCAAAACCAACTCAGACTGGTTTAAGTAACAAAAGGAATTTACAGACTTCGGGGTCCCTTGTTGTTGTTGTTGTTAGGTGCCATCAAGTCGTTTCCAGCTCATAGTGACCCTATGTACTACAGAATGAAACACTGCCCGGTCCTGTGCCATGCTCACAATCGTTGTTATGCTTGAGCCCATTGTTGCAGCCACTGTGTCAATCCATCTCGTTGAGGGTCTTCCTCTTTTTTGCTGACCCTCTACTTTACCAAGCATGATGTCCTTCTCCAGGGACTAATCCTTCCTGGCAACATGTCCAAAGTATGTAAGATGTAGTCTCACCATCCTTGCTTCTAAGGAGCATTCTGGTTGTTACTTCCTCTAAGACAGACCTGTTCGTTCTTTTCTTTCTTTTGGCAATATCTGTCAGTTTGTCGTACTGTGGGGGCTTCCATGTTGCTGTGATGCTGGAAGCTATGCCACCAGTATTCAGATACCAGCAGGGTCACCCATGGTGGCCAGGTTTCAGCTGAGCTTCTAGACTAAGACAGACTAGGAAGAAGGACTCGACAGTCTACTTCTGAAAAGAATTAGCCAGTGAAAACCTTATGAATAGCAGCGAAACATTGCTGGTGTCCCTGGGTGGTGCAAACCAAAATGTTGGAGGTTCAAGTCCACCCAGAGGTGCCTCAGAAGAAAGGCCTGGAGATCTACTTCCAAGAAATCAGCCACTGAAAGCCCTATGAAGCACAGTTCTGTTCTGACACACATGGCATCACCACGAGTTGGAGTTGGCTCGATGACAACTGTTTTTTTTTTTTTTTTTTTTTTGCAGTGGGCTTCAGGTGTGTCTGGATCCAGAGGATAAAAACAGTATCTTTGGGCTTCTGTCCTTCCAGCTCTCAGACAGACTTTTGCACATAAAAGTTTCAGCATTCCAAGATGCACCCCCTCCTAGCTTAGTGCTCAAATGGAAAGCGCAGAAGCGCTTCTGTTTCAAGAATATTTTTTTTTTTATCTAAAAATGTTTTTATTTCAACTTTGTCTCATTGCTTTTAGTTTCACATTTTTGTGTATTTTACATAAAACACAAGTATATCACTATAGTTGTACATCTGTACCTTGTAAAGGTTTTTATAAGCACATAACTATTCCCATATAAAGGGAAGTTTGGCTTTTTTTTTTTTTTTTAATATTTTATTGTATTTCAGGTGAAGGCTTACAGAACAGATAGTTTCTCATGTAACAGTAACACACATGCTGTTTTATGACATTGGTTAACAACCCCACAACATTTTAACCCTCTGAATTCTCAACTTTTTTTTTTTTTTTTTTGGTGAAAATACACAAAGCCAAAGATACGCCATTTCAAAAATTTTTTTTACATACACATTTAAGTGACATTGACTATGCTCTTCTAATTGTACTGTTATTCTCACTTAAGATGAAGGCTTACAGGACAAAATAGTCTCCCATTTAACAGTTACTACAAATGTTGCCCTATGATCAAGAATATTTTGTGCATTAGCAGAGACTGACTTCGGTTCGTCAGGACTGGGTGAATACCTTGCTGGGATGGGCTGTTGGGAACTATATGCCATCAGTTCCTCAGTGGAAAGAGGAAAATGGAGAAAAGAGGTAGAGGATGAAAAAGCAACAAAAGGTGCACTATTTGTCCCTCCCTTTTCATAAACATTTAGATTATTTCAAACTTTTTATTACGCATAGCTGTTAAGTGGATCTGTATGTGTCAAAAGATTTTTGCATGACGATTAGTATCCTTCCTTTGCACGATTATTAGGATCCATCCCTGGTGGCACACAACAGCTACAGCAAGCTATGGCTGCTAACCTAAAGGTCGGCAGTTTGATTCCAACAGCCGCTCCTTGGAAACTGTATGGAGCAGTTCTGCTCTGTCCTATAGGGTTGCTATGAGTCGGAATCAACTCAGCAGCAATGGGTTTAGTCTTTTCTCTTAAAATACAGTGCCCAAACTGGGATAAAGTCTGTAGGTGGCACAAATGGTTTGCGCTTGACTGCTAACCTGAAGGTTGGTGGTTTGAATCCAGTCAGAGGCTCCACAGAAGAAAGGCCTGGCAGTCTGCTTCCTTAAAAGATTACAGCCAAGTAAACCCTTTAGAGTAGTCGTACTGTCTAATGTATGGGGTCACTAACAACAACTAGCGACAACCAAAACAACAAACTGAGATACCGAAAACGAAGGAGAAGAAGGTTAAAAAAGGGGAAGGAGGAGTCTTTCCCCCCGTATTATAATAGTAAAGTGTCATAGAAAATTTGGAACAGATTTTTAAAGTACAGGGGAAAGATATGCACTATCAACACTTTGGAATATGTCTTTGCTTTATATATCTTACAATCTAGAGGTTTTACATAGTTGTGATCTCGTTACCTATGCCATTTTGTTTCTTTCTTTAGTTGCTCTCATTTCCTGGATCTTACGATTTTTCTGTAGCGTAACTGCAGATAGCTATCTCTGCATTGAATATGGTTTTTTTAGTGCGTGAACATCCTTAAGTGTATGAGTATCCCTAAAGTTTTGAATAAACTTAGTTATCAGCAATAATATCTGGCATAACATGGATATTCACTAAGGCTGGGGTTACATTTGTTTTGTGGAATAGCCTGGAGGAAAAAGAGAACT